TTACACTGGGTTTGAGTGAGAGGATAGAGGAATATGTTTATTTATAGTAGACTTAAAAGATGTCATTAGAGACCCAGTGTAATTAAACAATACGGTTGCAGAGGTCAAATTTTAACATTTTTGTCCACTGGCCAAATGGCTAGCCTAGTGAATGTTGAAATGTTACCAGCCACTCAATAGATTGCCATTGTTATTTGTGGCTGGTGCGTGCAACATACAGTACCAGCCACTTGCATGGTAGATATCTCTTTTGGAACAGGTCATGTTTTAATATCACCAGTTCAGTATATTTCAGATAATATTGCAGCAATAGTTTTTTTGTTGCAAATGGCACAGAACAAATTTATACTTTGAAGTACTTTTAACACAGTTTCCCTGCGGGGGATTAATAAAGTATTTGTGATACTGATTTCTGATTCTGAAGTGTTTTGCTTATAAGTTGTTTGCATTTAGATAAAGTGTGATGTTTGTCCTCATATTGCATTGCAATAGCCTGTTTAAAGTGATCATATAACAAACAACTAATCAGTACTGATACTGTATGCTAATAGATATGAGTGATAATAATACAGTAAATGCTTTGAATGTCTTAGATATAGCTGTGCAGTATTCTTAACAGACTGGATAGCAGCAGACAATAGAAGGCTTATTACAACCAGAAGAGACATGAGACTTTTATTTTTTAGAGACTTGAGACTTGACTTGGACTCGTGACCAAAGACTTGATCAAGTCTCACCCCACAAAGACTTGAGACTTGACTTGGACTCGTGACCAAAGACTTGAGACTTGACTTGGACTTGCAAAAAAAGACTTGTGAACATCTCTGCTAGGAATCAAACCACAGACAGTCCGTTTTGTAGACGACCACACTAGTTGCCATGGATGTAGTTAGAGAAGTGGATACAGCTTTGGAAGCAGGACCCCGTTCATTCCTATGAGAGTTGCTCAGTAGTGCATGAAGCCAAATTGACCTGACACTCAAGTACAAAAGTGTAAGGATCTTATTGCGATGCAATATTCCCGTCCAATGGGCCCATATAGCATGCATTACATTACATCACTTCCACAAGATTTTCTTTGTCATAACTACACTGTAGCTATGCACACTACACTGTAGTAGGGCTGTGCAATTAATCGTATTTTAATTGCGATTACGATTATGGCTTGCGACGATTATGAAAACAGCATAATTGACAAAATACGATTATTTTGCTGGGTGCGCTTTCGCCCCTCCCTAAAAGCCCACTCGGCCACGTGGGAGTGACATGTGTTGTGAGTATTCAGCGCGAGCGAAAATGTCAGAACAAGAGCAGCAACTCGTTAAAAAGAAGGGTAAAACTATTTCCACTATTTGCAAGTACTTGCCATTACATTTCACATCGCTAAAGATATGTGCCCAGTTAGCACTGTTAGCAACCAGGGCTTTAAGCAACTTGTCAACACGTTGGACAAGCGTTACGCGATGCCGTCTCGGTATTATTTCAGCAGGTCTGCGCTCCCTGCACTATATGACAAATGCCGTGGGGAAGTTGAGAGAGATGTGGCTTCAGCTGACTACTTTGCCACCACAACAGACCTATGGTCTAGCCCAGGGTTGCCCAACCAGTCGATCGCGAGATGTGTCTAAAAATAGAACAACAATATTCTGTTTTATCGTTAATGTCCTGTAACATAATCTTCCTGTGCCAGAATAATGCACTTGACGCATCAAAGCTTTGTGATTGGCCGGCGTCACCCCATGTGTCGGGGCGTGGCTGAGGGTCTTCAGTACAGGTGGCAATATCGTCACCTGCCTGCGCTCATCTCTGAAACCAGACCATGTCAACAGCCTGGTGTTTCTTGCAAAACATCTTTAAGAGATGACATGAGCAGCCCTACCAGCATTTGCCATGGTGGCCTAAACATTTTTATTTGGTCTTAAATTGTAGTTCAACATTTATTTCCTGTTACTTCTGGACCATGACGGTTGGCCAGCCTTCAACGTTTAACTGAGTGGAATATGTTGAATATGTTTTACCAAAATGTTGGCTATATGTTAAGGAGTTTTCAGTAGGTTGTGACAGTGCACTGCATCATATTTGATTTAATTTAGTCTAATTTATTTTTATTTATCATATTAATATATGTTTAGTATGGTTTTGGAAGTGCGCTCCAACATATTTGTTGATCTTGTTTATTGGTAAAATATTATTTGTTTTAAAGTTCAATAAATGTTCAATGAATAATCGTCAAAATAATCGTGATATCAATTATTGACCCAAATAATCGTGATTATGATTTTTGCCATAATCGCACAGCCCTACACTGTAGCTATGCACACATGACAATAAAAGCCTTGAAACTTGAAACACTTGTGTGTTTGCTAAGTCCGGCCTTCGATCCATCCCATAATGGCCGGTCTTGGCTCAGTCAAATGAATGGAGAGGATATAACTCTCAATTTTAGCACATTTTACAACTTCTAGGACCGAATGTAGAATACAAATGTTCCGCTAATCTACAGATGTCTCTTTCTATCTGCAAATCATTCAATTACTTGAAACTTGTTAGACAGTTTTATCCAAAGCGACTTACATACATTCAGTGCTGTGGGCAATGAGCAATTTGGGGGGAAGAGTCTGGCCCAGGGACACATGGATTAAGTATTTTTTTCAATGTCATTCATTTCTTGGGGGCTTGGTTAGGTATCTTGCCCGAAGACACATTGACATAGCGATGTGTCCCTCCTCTATTGTCTCATCTTGTATTACTGCCTGTCTTTGTTGTTGTTGTCCTGCCTTTGGAAATGGCTTCCCTGCCCTGATTGTACCTGGGTAACCTTAGTTAATTAGTCTCTTGTGTGTTTCCCATGTGTCTGTTAGTTTGTCGGCACAACCAGTGAGCAGTGGTGTGTTTCCGTTGAGAGAGTTCTCTTCTAGTGTTTTGAGTATCTGTTTCTTTTACCTTCCTTCTTTGTCATCGCTTGCCTACCAGACCGACTGCCTTTGGACTTCTTTTTTTTGATAAATAACTGCAATTATCTCTTCTGCTGACTGCAGTTTGGTCCAGTTCCTGCTTGCTTCAGTACAATCTGTTTCCCATGATGCTCTCTGTCTGCAGAGCGTTCACTGATCTGCTGAGGAGGAGGGGAGGAAACTTCAATAAAGTCTCCTACCTCCTCCAGTGTGTCAGGATAAAACACAGACGCCTCACAGTGAAGGAGTGTGTTGTTCTCAATGCTAGGAATTCACAGCTGCTGAATACATTTAAATGTTCCAACCACTGCATTGCACAAATCTGTCTGTTGACGTGTGCAGCCTCCCATGCATCCCTGACACCTTAAAGCTATCTTATAAAACGTCTCCACATCTAATTGTTCCTCCATTTTAAATTTGACTCTATTCAGTTTTAAGCTAAATGTATACGATAAACCTTTCAGATTTTGGAAATGTGTTATATATTTGATCTGATAAGGATAAACCTGCATGACTGAGTCCAGAATAAATGTCCTAACGGGTAGAATAAAGTAAATGTTACATATATGTGATCTTCCTAAAATCCTCATGTATTTATTGTACGTATATGTTTCTCTGTCTCTAGATTGCAGTGTTCAGTGTGATCTAACATGAACACCAACAAGGTCACAGACTGACTGATACCACAGGCCCATCTAATAAAGGTGGAAAGATGGTCTAACTTCCTGCTGATTTCAGCCACTTCCTGTCACTGGCAGAACCTCAAAGAGAGACCTTAGTGTCGCAACGAGTCGAGGATCAGAGCCAGATAGTAACATTGAATAAACAGCAGACACAAATGACGTTTTAAGAGCTTGATATGATAGATAATACTAATACAAATATCTGCACGCTATATCAGTCTGGCCTATACACCTCTGAGAATCTGTAATGAAGCTCATTTGAGGTGTAGTGTGTAAGACACGGCCAGATTTGAGTTAGGTACGTGGCAAACAAGAGACAAGGTTATATTATTTTTCTTCCACAGATCCTTGTGGTTCATATGATACCAAACACGCTCCAGTTTCAAGCAAACTAACTCAATTTTCAAATGATATCCTACTGACTTCTCCTGTTGGCTTGACTTGAAAAAAAGTCCACCACAGTAAAAGGACTCGGTTAAGAACACATCGAGGAGGCTGAAGACCAAGTTCATTATAACAGACTGACATTTTTTAACAAACAAATTCCATTTTTACTTCGCCTCTCCTTTACTTACACTTGAGCTACTATGGGCAATGCTAACCTGAACATCAGAGGGAATGTGTGGTTCAGTTTATTGCTCAACAACACTTTGTGGACACACTGGAGTCAAACCGCCAAACTTGCGACGATTTCAACATCAAAACCTTCTCTAACCTCATTCAAAAGACAACCTAAACTGGCTAAGGTTGGAGCAGGCAGTGCTGAACCCTGTCATTTCTAAATAAACTGTGCTTCTGCTGCTTACTGGGTCACTCCATCGCCCTCCTTGAAGGCCTTATGGCTTCATCACAAACAGCTTCTGTTTTTAAAAAGAAGGTTTTAAAACTACTAAAGAATCACCAGCAAGCTTCTTTAAAACCTCTTCCCTAAAAGACGCACTGTGACATATCTTGGAGGATGACATATGAGTGTAGGAACCCTGACTTCCTCATAAAGAGTCAGTAAAACAACCCTAAATAACCTTAATCTGTCTGAAGAACATCTAATAATACTCAGATACGATTTATACAAGTAATATTTATTTCACTTCTGTGCTGCATGAAGTCTATATGACTATGACTATTTTCTGTTATTTTCTGCAAACGTGGACCTGTCTTTCATTTATTCAGTGATTTAAATAGTGAGACATATTCATAAATATTGAGTGTATAGGACTTTTAACTGTTTTTCTGTTCTTTTAATCGCAATTCATTCATTGTCATTTAGTGGAAACAAGATTATATTGGAATTATTATATGACACGAGCGTTATTTATATTCTAACCATATTTTAAAAGCAGGATTGATAGAAGCTGCCCCCCACCTTCCCTCCGGTGCTCCGGCTCCTGCTGTCGGTGGTGCCGCTGCTCACCACCGCCTCCTCGGATTCCTCCTCCCCGTCCTCCAGCTCCTCTCCGTCGGCCTCCTCCTCCGTGCGGAGCCGCTTGGCTTCCCGGTGGTATCCTCCTTCTCCTTCTCCCCCGGATATGTCTTCTCTGTCCTCCTCCATCACAGTGGGTCAATTCACAGATGAAGATTTGAGGTAACGCGGAGTAAAACACGGTGACACCAACACACACGCACACACCACACAGACACTCTCTCCAAAGATAGGACGAATACACTGATGTGTCACTGCGGTACAAATTCAGGAACGAAATGCTACTGCAGTGAAGTGAGTTCTAGGTCGGATATTCGACGCACCAATCTTATTATGATTACCTTTATCCATGCTTACTTCCTTATATTAGTGTAAAATATGCTTACAATTATTATAAATGTGCCTTTTGTGTGGCACACCTTTTTGATTACTTATGGATGGTTCATAAATAGAAGTTAAGAAGTATTTTATTTATCCCAAATTGGGAAATGTTTTCGTTGAATTGATTTTAGAACATTATATTATTAGAACATAATTTCAATGATTTTAATATCTTCTATGTAATCTATTACAAAGTCAGTGACTCCAAATCTACTCTAGGTATAATAACCACACTATTACACTATAATTAAGACACGCTTATTTTGGTTCGATTTAAGTGCTTATTTATCAGAGTATTTGTATTTAAATTCAGTCATTTTAAGTAGTTTCTTTATTTAAAAGTTCAATTTATTTTCAATAGCGTCCACGTCATGTGACCCAGTGACTCCGAATTGGTGCACAATTGTATTACTGCACTCGATTAACTAAGAAATATTTTGTATTAGATTCAAGTCTTCTTTTTATTCTGTCTTAGTTTTTCATTAGAAAGTCTTGATATTTGCAATACCTCTCATGTCATGTGATCTTGTGAATCCAAATAAATCCAGAATATTATTACTACAAATTCAATATAGTACAAGTAATGTACTTTGCATGACTAAAAAGCTCAAATGCAGCTTATCTCAAGTCTGAACTGAAGGGGGAAATGATGATGCTTCTCTTTCTGCAGACTGTCGCCTCTCTGCAGCTGTTTCCTGCAGGTGGAGGTCAGGTTACCACAGCAACAGCACACCTTGCTAAACGTATTGCACCTCCTCTGAAGAGGGCCACCCACTTTACACAGGAAACATCATCTGTGACTAAAGGTTACTTTATATTTGTAGACGCCTTTAGTGTTTGAGTTTATTGAAAAAAGAATCACATGTTAATGTAACATCACCGCTTTTTTCTAATCATCATAATGTATCTTGTTTGTATGCTGCAAACATTTCCCAAATTGGGTATATATAAAGTACATCTTATCTTATTCATCTTATCTATCAGTTTAAAGATTCATTTAATTCCTCCGTGACAGCTTTGGTCTCAGTTTGAGAATATCAACTGTGACACATCTATACTCAGTCATTCTGTGTTTATCAGGTTCATTGCTTTTGTAATTATGTTTGAAAGGGGCTGTAAATAAAGTGTATTTTTCAGAGTGTAAAGGGATTTGGACTTTTTTTCCTAACACAGTGGGACATCATATGATGACAATAAGCAATCTTTGGATGTTTAATCTTACTCACACCTCCTACATCAGCGTATGACCAATATTAGGTCTCAGCCACATTCATATAAATATCCTCTCAAGAAAAACACCTTTAGAATGTTAACTAGAAAGTATGATTAGAATTTATATATATCCCCTCATTAAAACATCGTTTTTTATTATTTTTTTCAAAACTGCAACCTGCTTACAATTGAGATTTATTTATTTGTTTGGTTATAATTCCCATGGGAACTGTGACTCTATCTCCACCTGGTGGCTGTTTCTTTAATACAAATGATTAACACTGTTTTTGCCAAATATAATTTAAACAATTGTAATCTTATTTTACATATGTATGTGTGTGTGTTTTTTCATTAAAACAACCACAAAAAAAGTATAATATCTTAGATGTTTGGATGTTAACCTTTGCATCCCATCGACTGGCCTATTACCTACCCTTGACATATTTATATAAAGCATCCATTGTTCTTCAGAGACAGGCTAGAAAAGGCAACATTTTAACACATGTCCCAAGAGAAAACACCACTCTGCTGTATCATTGTATTTGTTGTATTATTGCCTTCTTGGGTTTGTTTTGTCTTCCCACTAACTCCATCTGCCTTCCTGCAGACATGTGGTTTTAAATATTCAGAAAATGCAACCATGAGACCAAGTGTCAAACACAGTAAACAAAAGTGGTTCATTGTTGGATACGGATTGTTTCATAGAATTATTGAATGCTTTGAATATTTACTTGTGAATCTGTGAGCACCAAGCTTTTTTTGCCTTTATTCAAACTCTGGTTCTGCATGTTTTTGTTTCAGGTCACAAACTGACCCCTAGCATGGATAAATGGATTTAAACAGCGATAATGACGAATTTCACACGCTGCACATACACTTTTGAAGGGCATCCCTAAGGTCATCATCTGACCTCTGAGGGGAGAGATGAACAAAAACAAACTCTACGTATTGGTTGTCCTCTCTGTTATCTTAACTTCTGACACAGCTTTCCTCTGTTGAACATGTTTCTCAAAGTCAAAGTCAACTTTATTGACAATCTCAAAATATGTTTGTACACACAGAAAGATCGAAATACTGTTTCCCACAGTCCCGAGGTATAAAAAACTCACACATGAATTCAAAATGCAAGAACATTCAATAGAAACCTTCATGTGAATACACTTTTGTCTCTGTCAATACAGATGCAGTGTTTTTACTGTAAGGCTTTTGTATTGGCTCAGCTCAAATTGGCTGAAACAAAACAAAAATGCAGCCATTGAAAAAAATTAAATTACATCTTGAAAAATGTTAAGTGAGTTGTGTCCCAAAAACGAATGTGATCAGAAAAATCTGTTGATACCGTTCCCTGATTGATGCTTTATACAGTGTGAAGCCTCATAAAGTCACAGTGACCTGATCCTTTCTTTAAGTTGGGAATCCATGAAGTGTCCTGCAGGAATGCATCAAATCGTCAGGAAATCATGCATTCGTTGAACATCAGATTAAGATGGATTTTTATTAATCCCTCGTGGGGAAATTGTTTCTCTGCATTTGACCCATCCTAGTGTTAGGAGCAGTGTGCTGCCATTTTGAACGGCGCCCGGGGAGCAGTGTGATCAGTGTCAGCATATGATTTAACGCTTGTTGTGAAATGACATCACATGTTAGACGCTTTTATCCAAAGCGACTCACATGCTCAATACTGTGGACAATCCCCACAGGAGCAATTTGGGGTGAAGTGTCTCAGGGACACAACGACATGCTGACTGCAGTGGGATTTGAACCTGCGCACAACCCACTGCACCACACGCCTGAAATGTCACAAAAGTGATGCAGTGGTGCAAGGAATTTCAGCCGTGGACAGATTCCCGCTTTGTAAAGGAAGAGGATTGTTATCATAGTGTGTGGCATGCTCCTCATGTGACCTCCTGGAGTACACATCAAAACTAAAACAAGTAGCTGTGAGATACAAAGTCACTTACATTGCTGGAAAATGGAGCTGTCATAATTTATAAACAAGCTACTCAGTGGTGAGTCAAAAGTTTGGGAGGTGATCCAGTTATATATTTTTTAATGGCATAAAATAATGTTATGTGTGACTTCATCCATTATTGTCTCAGTGGTGTTTTTCAATGATCCTCTGCTTGTGTCTGTGGGGAGTTTAAAAATACAAAAACAATCCTGAAGCTCGAGGAATAAATGTAATTTTCATCATATTAAGCATTCAAACCTTGTGTTGTTGTATTCTACTAACACGGGTTATAAAGATTTAATTGATTTCTGGAGGTATGCAGACCAGAGAGGAGGACAGAGTCCCAACAGCTTTGAAACTCAACTGGATAAAGCTGAATTCATTTCATTTTTACAGAAACATGAGGCTCGATGTATCTGATTCTCCTCAAGCTGTGAAAGCGAGAAGAGGAACATGAAGAAAAGGGATCGGAACTGATGCATCCAAACATGGACTGTGGAGACAAGGGCGAGGAAATAAAACATAAAGCTCCAGATCCTCCACTGTCACAAAAAGCTCTTTATTTTTCTCATACTGCCTGTGCTGCAGCACCTCTTTTCACTCTCTGTCTGAAACCAGAGCCCAGTCTGCTCTGATTGGTTAGCTGGCCGGCTCTGTTGTGATTGGTCCACCGCTTAGAGATGTCCCGCCCCCTAAGACTATCACGTACAATGTGTTGGAGCGCTATGGATTTTACCCTTTGCAGACCATTTACAAGCACAAAAAACCTATAGAACACACTACAGGAAGGGGAAACCCCAAAAAACATTAAAGGGCCTCTTAAGAGATTTTAATTATGACCTTTACTGGAAAAGTAGACGTTTTAAGCCAATGGCTGCCTGGAAAGAAGCACATCAGGTTTGAATAAAACATCATTAACCACCATCATCCGGCCGGAACAGTTTGACTTCGGAGAAAAATCAAGTTTGTTCTGCTGCAGGTCAGATGGGAACAGTCAGTCAACCAATTAGGCAATACAATATAGAGAGAAATCATGTGCACACACACACACACACACACACACACACACACACACACACACACACACACACACACACACACACACACACACACACCACACACACACACACACACACAGCACACAACCAGTAGTTAGTTTAAATGGAAAGTCACCATAAAAAAAAGAAAGAAATGTAAGTTGGACAATTCTCTGAAAACTGTGCACTCACTGATGACAGTTCCTGTGAGCTCCAAGACTAGTTGCTAAAGTGTGTGTGCGTGTGTTTTTCAGGTTTGGTCGTAAGTCGATGCTCCTGGTGGCTCTGCTCAGCTCCACCGTGCTGGGAGTGGCCTCGGCGTTCTCCAGCTCCTACGTGATGCTTGCTGTCTGCAGGGCGCTCTGTGGCGTGGCCCCCAGCGGACTCTCCATCATCGGGGTGGTCCTCAGCGGGTGGTCCTCGGCGGGTGGTCCTCGGTGAGAACTCAAAGGGACAAATGAAATAAAATAACACTGATGTCACTACAGTATTTTATTTATTCATTTATTTAACAGGGACAGTGCACATTAATCAACATTTCTGTAAACGAGACTGAATGTGGCTATTTTTCCTCTGTAGTCCCTGGACAGATTCTGTAAGTCAACCTCAAGACACTTTTCATTTTAGACAAGTAAATACAATCAAATAAAAACATGCAACATACAGTTCTGGAAATCTTAATAAAAAATAAAAACAGAACCATAAAACAAACGAAACAGAAAAGAACATAACACAGGCAGTGGAGACAGACAGTGGGTTGTGAGCTGCAGAAGATGTGTCAGTGTTGGCAGAGCTGATTCCTCACTAGCCAGGTTTTGAAATAAATATAGCCTGTAACTATTGGGAAAAGAGCAGAAATGTAGTAATAAAGTTGATGAATGTAAAGTCTATAATTCAAATGTTTTATTTGCTTAAATGACTAATTCATAGTAATGATGTCAAGTCAAAAACAATATGTAGTCTTTTGATTATTAACTTGTTTATTTTTTATAATTTTGTATTTACTTTTCTCTGGTTGAATTTATATTATAGTGAGAAACGGGAAGGAAAAAGGGAATTAATTCATACCTATTATATAATCAATCACAGCAGTTTACCTTTGCCTGTTGTATATTTGCTTTTGACTGCACCTTGTCCATTACAATCTAAAAAGAAATGTGCATTTTTTTATGGAGTTTGGCATTTTTGAACAAACATACTAGCAGGATTCTTGCTGCTCTGAATGTGTATCCTCATGGTTGATTGCACTCATTGTAAGTTGCGTTGGACAAAATGTAATGTAATGTTATTGCTGACTCCCTGCTCAGAATGGACAGACGTGAAGCACCGGACCTTCACCGGCACCATCATGAGTTTGTCGTGGAGTTTGGGGAACATGTTCCTGGCTCTGCTGGCCTACTTCCTCCGGGACTGGAGACACCTGACGCTGGCCGTGACCGCGCCCTGCTTCATCGCCATCATCCTCTGGTGGTGAGTTTGGAGGAAATTCCACACAAAAACAAAACAACCTGTTTGGCATGAAATGAAAATATTATATAAGTTTAAAGCAAAGTTTTGTTATTTAATAAAGTCAATACAAATCAAAGCATTTAACAGAGTTAATCTCTTTCAGCTGAAAGGGCAGTCTTATAGAATAGAAGGGGGGGATGAAACCCTCTTTAATGGTCACACAGCACACACAGTGACATTTGGCCTCTGCATTTAACCCATCCTAGTACCAGGAGTCTAATAGGAGCAGTGGGCAGCTATTGTACGGTGCCCAGGGAGCAATGGGAGTGAGGGGGGTGGAGGGGTGTCCGGTGCCTTGCTCAAGGGCACCACGGCAGGGCCCAGGAGGTGAACTGGGACCTCTCCAAGTAGCAGTCCACACTCCATATTTGGGTCTAGTCCGGGACTTGAACTGGCGAGCCTACGGCCCACAGTCCAAGCCCCTACTGACTGAGCCACTGCCGGCCTGTGTTGCACGAAAAGGTTCGAACAAGATCTGACCACATACGAGAGCAAGGGAAGGGGAAGGTTCTCAGCGAGGTGAATTTACATTACAGGTGAGTGTGAGTGAGTGTTTGCCAGACGGTTGAAACTTGCATACATGTTAATTACAAACCAATGGTCGAAGAGACAGATGTGATGTGAAATGACACTTAATGATACATTTACTCCAACAGTGAGGGGGATGTTCAACAGGCTTTCTGTTCTCCATACTGGCAGTCAATATCTCAGTGTCTTTTAAAGTTTCTTCTGTTTGTGTTCAGGTGGCTGCCGGAGTCAGCACGATGGCTGCTGGTCAACGGCAGAACAGAGGAAGCCAAGAAGTATCTGGATCAGTGCGCTCAAATGAACCAGAAGAATGAGAACATTTCCAGACTGGACTCTGAGGTAGACTGCAGCTGAGTTCAGTCTCTAATCCACATTTGTGCCACGCTGGCAGAACAATCAATGAAACTCAAATTAAAGCCTAACCGGAATGAAATGGATGATAACCGTTGAGCTAATTAAAGGCTCTTAATAGGAAAAAATCTGCGCAGGATATGTTTATTTTATTTGACAGGATCAAACATGCTATAAAAGATGGTAACACTGGAGAACAGTTATTCAGTGAAAGAAAAAAGTAGTTTCTTTCAAAATGATGGAATAAGAAATGGGGCCTGTGTTTGCCCGTGTGTTTGTTTCAGGCTCTGGGAAAAGTGGCTTGGACTGAGGGGTCCGAGAAGAACCACTCCTACCTGGATCTGATCAAAACCCCCCAGCTGAGGAAGATCACCCTCTGCTCCGGACTGTTCTGGTACTGCATCCTCCCCTGACCTTTGACCTTAAAGGTCTCCTATCAAGCAAAATCCACTTCTTCATGTCTTTTATACATAAACATGTGTCCCCTCTGTGTAAAGAGATTCTGAAAGTTTCTCTCATTTTGTCCTGATCATTTATATAAGAACCTGTCTGAAAATGAGCTGATCAGATTTTGGCCACTTTATGATGTCATAACGATGTTTTGTCTTGAGTAACCATTAGCCAATCAGCAACCAAGGTAACCCCCCCCCCCCCTTATCACCTGAATCTCCTCCTAGAGCACCATTGAGTTCTTTGTAACCAAATCTCTCTCAGAGGGGCGTGGGGAGGGGCTCCTTATTTTCATCTGAAGTAACAGACAGAGAATCAGCACTTTGGAAACAGGGCTGAAACAGAGGGGATTATGGGTAATGCTGCAATGATCTGTTTGGGGTTTGGAGTCAAACACTTCAGAGACATGTTTTGTATATATCTGAGACCTATAATATATTGATGAAAAACAGTATATAGGGGACCTTTAAAACATGTGTGTGTGTGTGTGTGTGTGTGTGTGTGTGTGTGTGTGTGTGTGTGTGTGTGTGTGTGTGTGTGTGTGTGTGTGTGGCTGTGTGTGTGTGGCCTAGCATTACAATCCTTGTGGGGACCTAAATCTGTTTACAGTCACGTGTGGAGACTCGCCCCCCTTATGGGGACAAAATGGAGGTCCCCATGAGGGGAATCATTCATTTTAGGGTGAAGACTTGGTTAGGGTAAGGGTTAGGCATGTGTTGGTTATGGTTAAGGTTAGGATAAGTCTCCAGGAAATGCATTTAACCCTTCTCTTGCGTTTCGGGTCTAAAGTGACCGAATGACTTTTATTTTAATCATAAATATTGTATTTTTCATCCAATTGCCTCAATACCTTATATTATCCTCCACACTAGGCCTCTGAACTAGGGATGTGCATCTCCATCACTGAGGCCGATGCGATGCGCATCTCGATACGTTGCCACGATACGATACATTAACGATACATTTGAAACACCAGGCGATGCGATACGATACGATTCACCCCTGTTGCGATACAGTTCGATACGATTTGATTCAACATTATGCGATTCGGTGCGATTCAACACGATGCAAAAATAATGATACTTCAATTTGGTACGACAGAGGATTTTTGTTTTATTCCTTATATGCAGCAAATCATACATTAACAAAAAAGTGCTTTACATATTTGGTACTGCACATCCCATCATGCCGTTTATTTTTTTACCTTTAAAAGCTCTCCAGAGTACAATTGTATAACACCTCACAGTTAAACAATGTAAGGATGCATTGCTCATGATTAACAATGTGCAAATAACAGCTACCATAGAGCAATGCCCATACAGCTGCCAGCCTGATGTGCTTAACACTCATTCATAGGCTAACTCACCAGTGAGCAGAAAGCAGTGGGTTCTGTATGAACAATAAAGAACACAAATAACCTTTCACAAACAGGTATTTCATAACTGCTTACAGTGAGGAATACATTTAAATTATTATTGGCCGTCACAGGCTGCTGTAAACTAAACACCACTCTCTGACAGAACACCTCACTGAGTGATTTAACTCATATGTCTAACTTTGAGGTTTCTCTTTTCAGCCGCAGACCCCATGTCGACTCTTTATGTGCGTCGCTAAGTTCCTCGTACTACTTGTGTACTTTAAATCGGCTCGGCATCGTTAACAATTTGCGAGCGATTTTTCAAGTTGACCGTCTGTGCCGCACACATATACCATCAGGACGTTACTGATGGGGTGCGGCTGAGGAGTGATACTGTGTGTATGCAAGCCCGCATCTAGGACGGATCTATGTATCATGGCTGTAGACCTGTTAAGTAATAAAGATACCTCATACAAAGGTCTACGGATACCTTATTACTCTCCATGACCTGCGGTCAACTATATAGCCTAGCATAAAGGACTATTACACCGTCTTTCTTGAACAATCCGAAGTGTTGCCAAACGTTTGATTTGTAGGTATTTTTCGGTGCGCTGTGTTTCTCTTTCTCCTCGACTTCCGTGTGTGTTGATAACTGAGACTCTCGGCCTCCGTAGTGGCGAAGATATCAAAGATCGTATCTGCTGAGCGTTGACAAGATTAGGGGATTTTATATGAATGAATCGTTTTTTTACCGATGCAAAGACGCTACGCAATCGATGCATCGCGAGTTCAACCCGGTTCAACCCAAACTGTAGCCGATGTGCACTCTTTCAACCGGTGCACTCGCATCTTGAACGTTTATGCCGGTGCACCGATGCGAATCGGTGAATCTTAACATCTCTACTCTGAACATATACACTTGATGATCACCACTTGCATTGCATTTTGAGTGATTTATTCAACAGTGAAACACCCTTGACGTTTTCGGTCAGATTTGACCGCCATAGAAATGAATGGGTATGAGTGTATTATGTTCATCCTGCAGATGGAAAACATCTATATACACACACACATTACAGGAACCTCTCCCTTTCTCGCGCTGTATGATACAATGTATCATACCTTCTCACAGGTGCGAGCTCTGTGCCTCTTGAGAAACACAAACCTCTCACTTTCTCGCGCTAAATGCGCCTCCCTTACTGGCTCTCAAGCAGTCATATTTGTGCCTTGCTCACATTTGACTCATTGACACAATGAGCAGGCGACCGATTAGGCGATTTTCTGTACGAGAGGCCCTGGACACATTTTTGAACCAGATGAAGAGGAGATTGAACCAGATGAAGAGGAGATAGAGGAAGATGTCTCAGAAATGGAAGACAACAGCGATCCAGACTATGAGCCTACAACAGACCAGGAAGAGGCACCTGAGGGAGAGGCCCCTGAGGGAGAGCGCCCTGAGGGAGAGGCCCCTGAGATAGAGGCCCCTGAGGGAGAGGAGCCTGAGGTGACATTCCACAATGTTGCATTGCCAACTATGTGCGTGAACACACACACACACATGTTCTGTTATGGTAAATTTCTCTTTCAATAAATGTTCATTGAGGAAAACAGTATCTGTGTCTTATTTTATATTCAGCACAGTGAATGCTGAACTTGATGGGCCCACCGGTGGGTCCGGACCATGACATGAAACACTGGCTTGCTTGTATCAAATAAATACATCCCATACATCATTGGAACGGGAAGAATCTCAGCCACAACACTAACTAAATCATTTCCATCTCCAGTAAACACAGCCTACATGGCAAGCATTTTTATAACATACAGTAATGTAAAATAAGCACTATCTTTGAACTTACTGCCAAACATAATATGAAATTCACCCCTGGTGTCGTTCTGTCTGTCATCCCTTGATTCTACTTGCTTTGACTGTTCAAATGAGATGTCAACCATCAAAATTGGATAAGGGGTTCCAGAGATATCACTGTGCAAAACCGTGCAAAACATACCGGTCAATTTTGACCGAAAATAGCATGGGAAGGGGGGTATGACCTAACGCAAGAGAAGGGTTAAGTCAATGTAATGTCCCCTGAAGTGATGTATACATGGTATGTGTGTGTGTGTGTGTGTGTGTGTGTGTGTGCTCACTCTGACTCTGTATCTTCAGGTTTGCAGTTGCCTTTCTGTATTACGGGATCAGCTTCAGGATTTCAGGCTTCGGCGTCAGTATCTATCTCACGCAGTTCATCTACGGCGCCATCGAAGTTCCCGCCAAAATCCTGACCTTCTTCGTCCTGGACTGGATCGGCCGGAGGAACAGCCAGGCGTGGTTTCTGATCACAACGGGAGCTCTGATTGGAGTAAACACGGCATACCTTTAGGTGACATGTGTCTGCATTAACATACACTACTGCTGAAAAGTTTGTAATTTCAACCAGTGATGGAATATTCAGATCCTTAACTAGTAGAAGTCCTCATTTGATACTGTAAAAATACTATGTTACAAGTAAAAATATTGCATTGACTTCAACTAAATATCAATTTTAGCAAAGAAAAGCTTGAGGAGAAAGAACAGCTCATTACAAACGTTTTACAATAGTGTCAACAAATATCCAATCTAAAACTTATTAGACAGTGAGATCTTGTTGACATTTCTTGTCTTGTCGGCTGATGTATTTCCCCTTAAATCTTTAATAATCAGATTTTGTTTCAGACTACTCTGTGCTTCGTACGTGCATCGCTGTGGTGGCGAAGGGTTTCTCAGAGGCGGCGTTCACCACAGCGTTTCTTTACTCAACTGAACTCTACCCAACCATCTTGAGGTAAAACCTGAACCTGAACCACAGAAACACCTAAAGGGTCCTGACTGACGATGCTTTTAACTACATAACATACTGGAAAGAGCTTTGAGAGAGACCAATGATGAATTCAATGAAAACTAATCCCTCATTTATCCTATGCAAACAACAAGACTGAAGGCAGATGTCCACTGCAATGTAATGTCAGCAACCCACATGGACCCTGACTTACTTTGAGGATTTCCTAAGAAAAAGTAGCATTGTTTTAATGGAAAAATACTCCGTTACAAGTAAACTTAAATGCAGTCACAATTTTAGTAGAGTGAAAAATCATTCTAAGGAAGTGAGCCGGGCTTTGAAGCTAATTCTCGTAGTGGCCAAATGGTGTTACTACAACTTATGTGTCAGTCATGTGATGCAAATAGTCCCAAAACTACCCTATCAATGAATTATGTGGGGGAAGAGACGTCTGATAATCAAAATATGTTATTTCTTTAAGTAAATCAACTTTCAGGGACGAATGCTTTGATAGCCCTTATTAGGCAAGGCAAGGCAAGTTTATTTATAAAGCACTTTTCAACACAAGGCAATTCAAAGTGCTTTACAAAAATGAAAGACATTAAGAGCATAAAACACATTATAAACATTAAAAAGCAAAGATAATACAACCTGAATAGTTACAGTCCAGTGTAAGATGTGAATAGTTCAATTAAAAATAGTGGCAAAAAGAAAGTCTTCAGCCTGGATTTAAAAGTAATAAGAGTTGCAGACCCCTAACCAAATTCTCACATTCCTCTACCCCTAGTCTTCCCGTGAAATTATAGTTTTTTTGTTGTTTTTCATTATCTGAGCCAGTGGTAGCATGTAGATGTTAAAGACAAGAGGCCCCAAGATGGATCCTTGAGGAACTCCACATGTCATATTTGTCCACTCAGATGTGTTACCTATAGAAACAACTTTTTTCCTGTCCTTTAAGTAGGATTCAAACCAGTTTAGAACTGTTGCCGAAAGTCCCACCCAGTTTTCTAGTCGGTCTAGTATTAAAATCACAAGGTCCTAACCAGCTATACCGTACACTAAGTAAAATAATGAGATGCTGAATGGATGTCTTGGTTGTGTTGTTTGCCAGGCAGTGTGGTTTAGGCTACACCTCGTGTGTTTGTCGGATCGGGACCGCTCTGGCTCCGATGATCATGCTGCTGGAGGACTTCTGGCTTCTTCTGCCGCCGCTGATCTTCGCAGGAACGGGAATCATCAGTGGCAGCCTGGTCTTCATGCTCCCAGAGACGCTCAACATCCGTCTACCTGAGAACATCTTTGACGTGGAGGAGGGAAGGTAGAGTATTTCTTTCCCATTTCTAAAAAACCTGTAAACAAACTCGGTAGTGTTAACTCATTACCAGGTTTTGGACTTATTAGGCGCATTCACACCGCAGTACTTTTCCCACAAAGGTTCATGAGAACTCTTTTGTCGCGTTCACACCAAAAAGAGCCGGTACTAAAATTAGTTCATGAGAACCTTTTTACCCTCTTTTCAGTCCCTGCTAGAGAGGGACTTTCGTGGGAGAAAAAGGTTCCTATTTCTGATTGACTGGGCGGATTGCAAACCACGCCCCGTAAAACTCCCAAAAAGTTTTGTGAAGCCGCCATTTTATTATCCTCGCATTAGCATTAGCATTAGCATTAGCCCAGCGCAGAAACGCAGAGAGACTAATTTATGGCAACACAAAATAAAACATGGGAGCGGTGGAGATGAGGAGGTGTCGGCGTTCTGGCGATTTACTCGGAAGGCTTCAGTAGAAGCTGCTGGGAGTCCCAGCAGCTTCTACTGAAGCCAGTCCCCAACTCCGGGGACTTCCGGCCGGGGACTTTGGGCGGCAGTATACGCCGTGAAGTGGTTTGCGGCCTGCCAGTAAACCCAAAGCAGAAGAAGAAGTGACGTCAGCGGCTTCATTTGCCTAATCCTCCCCCAGGGATTTATTCCGGTGTGAACGCGATCTGTATTTAGTTCATGAGAACTAAAGAGTTCTCATGAACTAAATTCTCATGAACCTTTGTGGGAAAAGTACTGCGGTGTGATTGCGCCTATACATGCATGACTTATGATGATGTTTTTTTATTATGTATTTATTAATATATTAATCTCAGAAAAGAGAAGAGATTAATTATGCCAGATTTTAGCTAATAGCTCATTTCCATCTGCAGTCCAGGTAGGTACATAACAATCCACAAACAATTATAAAACATGATTTAAGTACAGGTTAATAAACTAATACATAGTACAGTTGAAATATAATATTACAATACAGTTAAAATTGAAAAACTCAGATTACATGTTTGGATGACTGGTTGCTTAATATCAATTGTTTTGCACCATAAGAGAATGAGGTGTTTCTAAAACTGCCATGAGTAAGAAGATGTATTAAAGATGGAGATTTGTGTGATTTAATCTACTTAAGTTTAGTTTAGTTAGTTCCACTTAATGCTTAAAGATCAAATGCAAAGCTTTTTGTATAATTGCCAGTACAATCGAAATCATATAGCTACAACCAGGGGCGTTGCCTGGACCTGGAAACATTCGGGGCTTAGCCCACAGTGGCGGCACTACAGTCAAATTGTCTACTGCAAGACTCCCCACACGCACATACACAATTGCGCCATCTAGTGTCACAAACGTATGCCTGCATTAGCTTTGTTATGGCAATAGATTGTGGGAGATTCTCATAGCACGTGAGGATCTCTTGAGGGTAAGGTGCCTGTATTATATCGGTGGACAAAATGTATGTTTTTATTTTATAAGGACAATAACGTACTGTTGTGTTTGTTTAGTTTAATTTTAATTGCTTAATGCTCACAGTCACAGCAACATGTTTTTTGTGTGATTGGCTATTTGCAGTGGCGAGCCGTGCACTTATACCTAGGCCCTCTGACCCCCACCCCCTTCCCTCGAGTTATTATGTCATAAAGTCCGCGATAATAACACCCACCCATTTAGAAGGAAGATATGATTGGTCAATTGTACTGTCATTTGACATTACTCTCTCATTTTAGTTACTATAGCTGGCCCTCTGTGAATTCTAGCTGGACGTCCAACAGCTCCTATCTTCACACTCACAGAGAGGAGCTTCTTTCATTTAACCCTTCACATTCCAACAGAAACTGAACAGGCAGATTCGAAGGATTTATTTCTTTGGAAATGTTATTTTAAATACAATTAAATCAAGTTATTTTGGTAAAAGTAATGAAAAATATAACTAAAATGTTTTTAAATATTATTTTGTAGAATATCTTAGGCCCTCACAGAGTTTTTTTAAGTTTAATGTTTCACATCGCTTATGAAAAATATACTATCACGATACGATCACTGATATTTTGTTGTTGACTGGACACTTCTTTTTTAAAAGAGATAGCATGTGAGGATCTCTTAAGCAATGAAGCTCACATGTCCTTTTTATATGCTGTCAATTGAAATGCTGGAAAGTAATCACCAACTGTGAGTGATCTGTTGCCGAGGGGACAATACACCGCAGTTACATAAGCAGAGGTAAAGTACTATTTTGGGGGAAACTCCCCCAGGAAGATTTTTTTTAAATATTGAAGTTAAAAGCATCAATCTGATGCACTTTGAGAGCAACATTAAGAGATCTATGGATACATTTCTCAAAACCCATATGTAAAAAAAATCAAAGAATCAGAATCAGAAAGGGGTTTAATATTTAAAAACACTTGATTTTCAAGTCACTTTCTGCTTCCTTCCTCACTTGCCGTTTCCCCTCATCACTTGCTTCCGTCATCACTTGCTTCCTTCATCACTTTCTGCTTCCTTCCTCACTTGCCGTTTCCCCTCATCACTTGCTTCCGTCATCACTTTCTGCTTCCTTCCTCACTTGCCGTTTCCCCTCATCACTTGCTTCCGTCATCACTTTCTGCTTCCTTCCTCACTTGCCGTTTCCCCTCATCACTTGCTTCCGTCATCACTTGCTTCCTTCATCACTTTCTGCTTCCTTCCTCACTTGTCGTTTCCCCTCATCACTTGCTTCTGTCATCACTTGCTTCCTTCATCACTTTCTGCTTCCTTCCTCACTTGCCGTTTCCCCTCATCACTTGCTTCCGTCATCACTTGCTTCCTTCATCACTTTCTGCTTCCTTCCTCACTTGCCGTTTCCCCTCATCACTTTCTTCCGTCATCACTTGCTTCCTTCATCACTTTCTGCTTCCTTCCTCACTTGCCGTTTCCCCTCATCACTTGCTTCCTTCATCACATTACCTTTCATTTGCTTCGTTTTTCTCCCCATCATCACTCGCTGTCTTCAGACTCTTTATTGTTTTGTAGGTGGAAGTGTTAGGCTGAATCGCCTTGGTTTGACATTCGCAAATTGGTCGATGACCTCTCCATGGGCCACATTAGCCAAGACCTCCTTCTCAATGGAAATTATGGCCAAATGACTAAGCCTCACCTGGCCCATTGTACTTCTCAGCCAAGTGTGTAGCCTTCGCAGGGCACTGAAGGACCTTTCACAACTGCAGCTGGTGACTGGGATTGTCAAAGCAGCTTGGAAGATGGCCTTAAGAGAGGGGAACATATCCTCATCCAAAAGGGAAAATACACTTTGGATACTTGGCATGTCTTACTCTATCCTGGCAAGGTATTGTCTTGCAACAACAACCTCTTCAGTTTGTAAGTGGATGCTGTAATGTTGTGCAAGATTTTTGAGTGCCTCTTCATTCAGGAAATTCTCAGAAGCAGGGTGACATGCCTGTATGCCGATTCATATTTTTTCCCCAACTCCAGAAAACCTGTTTTGAAGCTCCTCCAGCATTCTGTCGAGAACTGGAAAGAAGATTCTCCCTCTCAAGTCATCTCCTGTTGTCAGGTCTGACCTTGCTCCACATGATGCCTCAACTACAAAGTCTTCCATGTTTCTTCGCTTCTTCCTCTGTGTCACAGTTTCGGGAATATCCAGATCATTGCACAGGGCCTTGGTCTTGTCATAGACCTCATGTGCTTTCTCGTCACTTCGGTAACTTTTCAGTGTGTTCTCAACTGCTGTTTTGTAATTTACTGCCTGCACCAAGTCAATTGTTTCTTTCTGCAGGTATTTGTGCAGGCCCTGAGTGGTTGAGAGCAGTGTCTGGAACAGGACAAGCATGTATATGGTACTGAATTTGCAAAGCTTGCTTTCCAGTCCCTTTGCCAGAGGGGCTGGAAGGCTCCCTAAAGTCTGGATCAAAGCAGGGAGGTTTTTTAGGATTGCATTCACCGACTCAATTTGACATGCCCAGCGAGTGTGTGACAGCTGAACAAGTTGTTTGTTCCCTACCTCTAGCTGTTTCTGAAATGTTTCCAATCTCTGATGGTGGACAAGAGATGTGGAGAAGAAAGAGTAGAGACACTCCAGGAGATCAAAGAAGTCACGTGCCTCTGGGATGGCTTTGCAAGTGGCGCAAAGGACAAGATTGAGTTCATGGGCATAGCAGTGAACATAAAGTGCTTCTGGATGCTTCTCTCTAAACCGAGCTTGTACACCTCTCACTTTTCCACTCATAACAGCAGCACCATCATAACTCTGGGCAACACATTTAAGATGTCCTATTCCATGTTTGTCAAGTAGCTGCTCTATTGTGTCAGTGATGGTTTTAGCATCAAATGCTGCAAGCTGAGAAAGTCCAAGGAACCTTTCTTTCACTGAGCCTTGTGGACTTACATATCGCACACACAATGCAAGCTGCTCTGTGTGATTATCTCTTGCTTCATCCACCATTACCGAGTACATTTTTGCCTCTTTGATCTCAGATATTATCCTTGCCATTATAACGTTGGCGGTGCTTTCAATCATCTCATTCTGTGATGAGGGTGAGAGGTAGGTCACACATGAAGGTGGCTTATAGGTTTGCAGAAAAGGAACAAAGTTTTCAAGAAGCTTCATGAATTCCATAAAATTACCCTTGTTATCACTCTCTGCTACTTCGTTGTGCCCTCTGAAAGCAATCCCTTGCTTCCCAAGAAAGGCTGTCACTGCTGCTATGCGTTTCAGATACTCCCTACGTTCCTGAATCTCACTGACATTTGCAGCATGTAGCTGCTGTGTGATGTCCCTGTGGACCTGGGTGGCTTTAAAGCTCTTCCAGAGAATAATTGAGGCCTTGTGTACGTTTGACTTTTCATGTTCTCGAAAAGAATCCAATGAACGCTTCCAGTTTGTGTATCCTGAGGTGGTGAGGGTGTCCCTTTGATCCCTTGACTGCTTTGGTTTGCCATATATTCTACAACTAAAGCAGAATGCTGCATTGGCAGTTGTAGAATATTCAAGCCATTTAAAAGTATCAAACCAACTTGGTTGAAATGATCTTTTTTGCTGGCCAAACATGCCGGATGGAAAGCAGTGATGTCTCACTTGCCTTGGCCCTGTATCTGCAGTCCCTAAATCAGTTCCCCAGTTACCCATTGACTCTTGTCTGTTCTGATGTTCCTGTTCATTGTTGTTCTTATCTGTTGTATCTCCTTCTTGTGTGTCCCTTTCTCCTGTTCTCATTTCTTCATCCTCTACTCTGTTTGGCTCATCTGTGATGACTGTGTAGGTAAACACAAACAAGTATGTATCAGTTTCCAGCTCTGTCAAATAAATGAATTTCAAGATACACAAATGTGTCTTCATTAAAATGAGTGTCACCACACTGTCACAAAATGTAATACTAACCAATTGAAAATAGTTAAATTTACATTGGAAACCTCTTGTAGATATCACTAAGAGTAGTTATCTGCCAATAGGACAGAATCATTCCTATACAAATGTAGTTTGAGTAATTCACATCCATATATTTCAGTGCTACATTGATGCTTAGCTAAGCTAACTATGAACCACTTTAACTGACAGGACTCAGGAATCAGGATCAACTGTACTACTGTAAAGTAGCTTATAGCTTCATGTCGAACACTGACAGTAAGTCAACATTTCCCAGAGAGCTTTCTTTGAAATCACCAGGTAACGCTAAAAAACACAACATTTAGATTGTATGACAAAGTGTTTATTTAATCTGGCTAGCTATAGCTACTTGCTAACGGTTTAGTTTACCCGCGCGATTCAAAGTAACGTCAACGTAGCGTGTATTTTATGCTTTGCTTACATGTTCGCATAACTTGTAAGTTTACTGACAGGTACATACCTTGTTCACCTGGCTCAGGTGGTGGCTCTGGGGTTGTTGTGTGAGCCACCACTTGAGAATTGCCGTCTTTTTTATTAAAAAAACTTCTAATGTCCATCTTCAGAATCTCCGCGTCCGGGGCTGACAGTTTAAAGTGTAAACATTGTCACAGAGGAGAGGTGTACCTGTCAGCCAATAAAACACGTTTATTTCCATGCAACTCTCTGATTGGTCTGGTGGCGTCGTCTTGCCTCTGTGTTGCATTCACTGAACATGGGAAATTACATTTATGCCGTCCGTCCTATAGGTAAAGTAGGTTAATGTATTATATTATTGAGGGAGAATTTGTCCGGGGCTAAAGAAAAAACATCCGGGGCTAAAGCCCCGGATGCCTACCCCAGGCGACGCCCATGGCTACAACACTATCTAAGATATTGCAGTATTAAAATCGGAGATAATATGCGTCTGGCAATGCGCAATATTTATTTTGTTCAACCCCCAACACCAAGTCCGACGATTTATTTTCTCAGCCGCTCCTCCGCAAGATGGCGTCGCGTGACGTCACAGTGGCCAAACAAACAAACTTTGGCTTATCGCTCACAGCTGCTTCCGCCGATAGTACAACTTAGTTTCGTTATCATGTCTGATTCTGAGTAGACTATAGACTAAAAGCTTTAGGAATCCAAACTATAACATATAATAAGTACCCTGTATCAAGATTGATGCAAAACAAGTGAAATTTGACCTTTTTAGAGAGGTTTAGAAAAATAAAGTCCAGGCGCTCTGAGTGAGCCTCTGAATTAGCCCAGAGCGAAAAATGCTCGCAGCGGCTTCCGCCGATAGTACAACTTAGTTTCGTCTATCATGTCTGATTCTGAGTCGGAGGCCACCCAATATCTGGAGTATGTTGTCGACATCCAACCATATCTATACGAGCCTCTGATGTCGAAGAGGAAATACAAGGAAACGTCACCTGATATCACCGATGAAAGTGCTGATGGCGATGATTCAAGTTCGCCATCTGAGGAAGAGGCCGAGGGTGCTGAGAATTGGTGTAGATGTGGAAACTGCCGAGAAAACAAGTGCTGCCACAACTATGGGAAAGTGAAGGAAGAGATGGGAGAAGAAGTCTGCATCACCGACTGTAGGACGTTCGACATTTTCCGTTATGAGTGGAGGAGCGATGAATGAGCTGCAGATAAACTACAATGCTAACAGTGAATTAGCCCCGAGCGAAAAATGCTAACCTATCACTCCTAGCGCCCTTATTACTTATCCTAGCTCCACATCCAACACATTGTTTATGATCGTAAAGACACAGAATCTAACGGTGCCCACCTCTATAAGCAATAAAACTGCAATTCCGTTATCTGCTGTGCTCCGTGCGCTTTGAAATCTAATCAAAAGTTGTTTACCTCAATTCTTTGGCGTTTCTGCATCACCCGGCTCTTTCGTTCTTTCAGTGGTTTCTTGTGCTGAAATGTGGAGGGGACGGCTCCGGGTTTCAGCCTCCGACGTGCTATTAATGCTTCTCCACCAACAGACTTCATGATAGCAGGATCAACGTCGTATGCATCACACGCGAAGTGGTCAGAACACAACTTGCTCCATTTTGTCGGTTGCCATCCAACACGATTCACTAAAAAAATCAATTTTTTGCGAATGATTTGGTCTTTGGGAAATGCATGTAAAACTCTCCCAGATCCCGCAAAGTTCGTACAACAAAAAGCTCAACAATAACCCATGTTAATTCAGTTTTCTTTTCGAAAAACATGTGACCGAGACTGCCGAGTCGGGATATTTGGTCCAGAGACTGTTTGGCCACTATTACGTCACGCGCGCGGAGGCTGCTGGGAATTACATGTCAGAAATTCAGACGGCTTTGGGTCGAGTTTTGGATCAATAAAAAGCTTTTTTTTGGGTGTATTATCTCGATTTAAATAAAATAAAAAATACAGGCAGTCTTAAAAACAACATTTCTATAAAAATGTAGCATATTTGGAAGCTTTGCATTTGATCTTTAAAGACCTTCTGCTTCTTTGATAGTTACAGTGGTCACAATCTGCAGTAGTGCTCATAGAAAGTTGCCTACATCTTAGCTACTAGCCATTTTATTAATCACTTTTTTTGTTATGTAACTACTTGACTGGACCAGTGCATCTAGAAATGGCTAATATTGCGGTGATGTAAGCAATTGAATAAAGTTAAACATCAAGCTGCAAACTCCGAGCCTGAAAAATAAAGCTAATCCAGAAGTGGCTTGAACCTGCTTTCTCTCTAATAAACAGGAGAAGGCAACTCCACTGGTAGGTCTTATTTGTTGAAGTGAAATGTATGACCCTATAAAGCAGATGTTGTAAATGTGTAGCACTTGTAAAATGCACTCGATACTTTTATTAATGGTTTCGGAAAGAATGAAACAGCAGATAAACTCGTACTATTATAGACAATACAACAGTTATTGGTAAATTGATTTAGACAATATACTTGTGTTCCTTTCTGTCTAGGCACAGGCAGAGTGAAGCAAACAGAGACGCTAAGATTGAGCTTAATGAAATAAAGTCTAATGAAGTAACAGCATCAAAGGACAACTGATGAGCTGCAGGACGAGGAGAAGCTCTCACTGGAAAACAGAGGAATCCTTGCTGCAGTTGAACGTAGATGGATCGGTGCTTTTTGATTTTCATTTCAACCTCAGGGGTTTGTTGCAGAATGTATAACTCAAATAAAGGTTGAAGACTCATTAAAACCTTCTGCTGAAGACGCTCAGCTGTCAACCAAACACTGTAAAATATATACTATTTCTACTTAAAGCAAACTAATACTATGTAAACAAATATTGTATGTACTGTAATGGTCTAATTAATTTTACTTCTTTTGATAACACATTAAAAATCACATTAAAACACTCAACCAACTTCAGATGCAGTCATTTTCAATGACAGTTAATGCACTTATAATTTTTTGTAATCTCTTTTTTGTATTAACATGGCATACAACACAGGAGAGGAAAGAGACTGGGAGACGTTTTCCTTTAATGCTTTATTGTTTTTAATGACAATGCTAAAGTGGTTATGTTTAGCAGGTATAATGTTCGCCATTGCAACCGTAATTATCAGAAAATAATAAGTACAGCTGAGGCTAACGAGAATATCAATAGTTGGCAGTTATGTGGTCATAAACCTAATTATTGGACCCATTATGATGATGACCTGGTGATGGTAGTATAAGTGAAAAGTCAGAGGATCGAAACATTATTACAGTCATCCTTAGGGGAATATTGGTGTTTGAAGCACATCTCTGACTTACATTACCATCCATAGAGCCTGCTTGCATGGAAACTAAATACATCAGTACATAAAAACAGCTGGATATCATGGATTTAAAATACTTTTCTTGCTCTGACTAGCTGGTTGGGGAAGTGTATTTTAATGCTGAAGGCATTGCATCAGGAGCTGATGGCCTCATCGCTCTCCAATCAGTTCCTGATGCAGTATCTTCAACATCAGGGAACTGTCCGTCATGTTCCTGTCCAAAGTATGTTCAGTTACACTCAGCTGTATACACACAAAGAGACACACAATTCAACTCACACAGCAATATATACCGGCTGTTTTAGGGTCGTCTCCAGCTGTACAATCCTAAAATAGGCAAAAGAAATTGCCCCCTCAAAGAGGGGTTTTAAAGAGTTTTAAAGTATGAAATGTTAACCAGAAGTGTTCAATGTGAGTCTTAAAACGTCAAAAATAAAAACCGGTATGAATTAAAGGTCCCATGTCATGCTTTTCCGGTTATTACCCGTCCCCTTGTGTGTTATGAAGGTTTTTATGCATGTAAACGGTCTGCAGAGTCACAAACCCTCAAAGTACACCGAATACAGAAAAGACCTGTCTATGCTGCCCCAGAAAGCCTCGTTGGAGCTTTTTCTTCCTGGGTACTGTGACGTGCCCATACCCAAATGGACCAATCCGTGGAGCCGTTACGTTCCTCACACACACACACTCAATCTTTTCTCAGCTGCAGCTCTGCCGATGTCTCCTCCCTGAGACGGCGGGACGCGGCGAGGCTGTGAGTCAAATATATATATATATTTGACTTAAATGAAAAAAACAGCAAAAGTAAGAATGAAATTGTTAAATCATCATGACATCATGGCTGTTAATTGACTGTATTATTATGGCTGATGATGTTTGAGTGGAAAAATAAGGCACTGACAAGTCGCCCCCTGGTGTCTGTGCTGGTGTTCTTTAGGAAATGATGGTGCTGCGTTCAGGAGAACCTTAGCCGGCTCTGTGAGGCGTTCAAAGCTCACAGTTGCCAGCTGAGATTAAACTGGACCACAGCAGTTTCCACACAATTTGACAGTGCTTTAAATGTACCTTTAAATGTACTTGGTTAGCGGACATAAATAGTGTGCTGGTCTGAGCAGAGCGACTGGATCATCTTTGCAGGTGATTGTGAGAAAACGTGACATCACAGTTGCCTGCAGAGATTAACAAGGCGACCTGTAGGTGCTGGAAACACACACACACACACACACACACACACACCACACACACACACACACACACACACACACACACACACACACACACGCACACACACACACACACACACATACCATGTATACATCACTTCAGGGGACATTACATTGACTTACATGCATTTCCTGGAGATTTATCCTAATCTTACCCATAACCAACACATGCCTAACCCTAACCCTAACCCTAACCAAGTCTTCATCCTAAAATTAATGATTCCCCTCATGGGGACCTCCAATTTGTCCCCATAAGGGAGGCGAGTCCCCACACGTGACTGTGTAGACAGATTTAGGTCCCCACAAGTATAGTAATGCACACACACACACACACACACCCACACACACACACACACACGCACGCACGCACGCACGCACGCACGCACACACACACACACACACACACACACACACACCACACACACACACACACACACACACACACACACAAACTCACAGTTAAATATAACAACAATGAGAATGTTTCATTCACAACTTGCACTGAAAGCAAGCAAACACACATTTGACATGTTTACTGTAAATAGTAGTAATTTTTGAGCATTTTCTTCATGTATGCATGTTTTTTATGACTTCATCTTTAAAGAGGTCGGTTGTTAAATGTTTACAAAAAAGTAGTATGTTTAAATATATATAAATATGTGTTTAAATGTTTAAGTTGTATGGACTTTTAAACATGTAGATATGTATTTTTTACTTATTTTTAATAAGTTCTCAAACTTTCTGAAAGCTGCATTTTCAAATAGTTCTGTGTAAGCGTAACTGAAGGTCAGAAAAATGAAATGTGTTTCTCAAAATATAGAGTTCACAAACACACACTCTGACACACACTCTTACACACACAGTTTTCAACAGACCTGGGCACAGATGCCATGTTGTATTTGTTCCGGCCTGCAGGCTCTGAGGGCTCTAACGAGGCGAGACGTTCATGGACAAAGCCTCAATTAGAGCCATGGGGTGTCCCAGCAGCGGACAGTCGAAACCCAACATGGACCCCCTCGGCTGCTCTATTGTCCCTGCATGGAAAACAGAAAAAATGAAGACAATGTGATTTGGTTCTGCTGAGGTGCACTCTAAAAGCCCTCGCAGAAACACAGAGTTAAAAAGCGCTCGCCCTCATCTTCAAAGAGCCGTCCATCGTCTTCCTCGGCCGACAGATGTGTGTCTGCGTGTCGACCCCTCGCTGTGCTCCACATACACTTTTCATCAGACTGTTTCTAGTCAAACTGCATGAACATCATAGCTTTGGTTTGTCACCACATCATCATGTTTCACCACTGAAGCCTCAAACTATAAATGACATGTTAACAGAGCATGGAGTCTGCACAATGAGAGAAAGAAGTATGAACTCTGAGAAATAATATAATTATGTAAATGCATAACAGGGTTTCTCAGGACTTCACTGTGTCTTATGTTGGAAGTATATTTAAAATTCCAACACATCTCATTTCACTTGGCATTTGGGTTGTATAAAGCAACTTAAAATAAGTGCAATCTACCATGAATATACTCAAAACAGCAAGAATCTGGAAAGTAATTTAGCTTCAAATAAGCCAAAAACATTTAAAGTGCTATTTACAGGAATTACATTTGAATTTTTTGGCCACAGTCCATTTTAAAATAAGTTTTTGGATCAAATGTTTTCTATTTTTTGTTTTAGGTGGTTTCTAAAGGTAGACCTTACATGTAGAAGCTATTGCGGAGGTATTTTTACTAATGCATCATAAATCAAAAACCACATTTTTACATACAGCACATTTGACACAGGTTAAGAGTCTATGAACAACCGAACAACAATTATCAGGAGAGAAACAGATTATTTTCTCTCTCCACTTGTCAACCAGAGTGACTTCAGATTACTAACTTCTACGCAGATATGAAACATGTTAAGCACATGGTTTCAACACATGACATGAAAGGGATATATAACCTTATTTATAAACACTCTTAATTAATATTCTGAAGTCTATTTTAGCGGGTAAAAAAGTGTCAGAGTAAATTACAGAAAAAGGCTCCGTGAACATGTCGCTAACTATCATCGAGACTATCTCAGTTAGATAGAGCTATTCTAGGAAGATTATATTTACAAAATAAAAGATTTACCTTACCTCTGGCATTAACACATGCAGGCAGCCAGGCTGAGGAGAGCTGTGAGTCAGTACTGGAGCACCACGCTGACCCCAACACACACACACACACACACACACACACACACACACACACACACACACACACACACACACACACACACACACACACACACACACACACACACACACACACACACACACCACACACACACACACACACACACACACACACACACACACACACACACCACACACACACACACACACACACACACACACCACACACACACACACACACACACACCCTCCAGCCAACACCACCCCGAGACCTCACCCTCAACAGTTTCCCGGGATGTAAAATAACCTTTATTTTTTAACACAAAACTGCAAATATTTGATTAAAAGTGCACTATCTTTGAAGAGGAAAAAACTGATTTACTTTAATCTTTGAGCATTTCATCATTTGTTGGTGTTTTCCAGAGGAGTAGGACCATTTGTATGGCACTGACCTTACATGTTATGACATGCAGCTATTACAATGCATTGTTTAAGCGATTTAATCAATTAATCAGATTTAAATTTCTCAACGTCATGATTGTACAAGAAAAAGTCACAGGATCACCGAAATCTAATAAGGTTCAACTTCTGAGGATTATGAGTGTTTGTACAAAATGTCACGACAAGACAAAGAGTTGATATTGCATTATTTTTACTTGATTTGTGAAAGTTTAACATGGTCGTGATTCCCAATAGCAAGTTAGATATTAAAATCATTAGGATTCATATTCTGATCACTATTGATATTCTTCATTTGGGCATCTTTGTTTTATGCACAAGATAATCCAGAGATATTTCTTTTTATGGGAAAAGCCCAAACAGACCACTCCTAGGATACTTTTACTGCCATCTTGGATTGAAATGCATGTATTTACTGCATGTTTCACTTCTCA